TAGAAGCGGCTGATTATCGTGAATGGGTTAGTATTGTATAAATTCAAATGCAAATTTAATTAATTGTAGATTGTAATCATCTAATACATGAAGTAGGTTAAGTGCCATCATATTTTTGGTCCTCTTTTTCTTCTCACCCTTTTCGGAAGTGTGTTTTGTGTAGAAAAAAGTAGGGTAAATTTCTTGTGTTCTGTGTAATTTTCTTTAGCAGTTGTCTTCCATTGTAAATTTTAAAGCTTCGATATTTTGTTATAATTTTTTTGTCTGTTAAGAACTTTTTTCTTTAAATTTTCAGACAGATGATGTTGAAAATTTTCAAAGGCTGTACACTGTAATCGGAGCATGTCTATACTATTCTGGACACTTGTTAAGTTCACATCTACGTGATGAAGACTTAGTAGAAATTAATGCGTATTTAAAATTTAACAGTATATTAAGGCTTAGCACTGAAAAGGAGTTGGACAAACTTGTTATGTGGAAGGAAGTTTTTATCAAAGAACATAGAAGTCGGAATAAAAACGACAGAAATGACAATAAGTAAACTTGAACTTTTTTAATTTTTTTTTATGTTGTGTTCAATTCTTTTTTGTTTTTTTTAATGTAGAATACCAGATGGGCGTTGGTTTCTTTTGATCGTTGGTAAGGGTCATTTTATATTAGCCACCCTTATGGAAGCTGGTGGATGTACAGAAGATGTAAGTAAGTTGTTAGTTAATTTTTCTGACTCTAATTGTTCCTTTCTTGTTCTTCTATCAGTCAATCTGTATGGATTCATAACAATGTTGCTTGGCATGTTGTTTACAAACATTGCTTATCAAGGAATATTCTTAAACTTTTTTCTCTTCTATCAATATCTTTGTGTATAAATATTAGTGATTTTCTTTAAATGGTTTGTTTTACAGGCGATAGGTGTAACATCCCCATCCCCATTTTACGTGGAGGAATGTGAAAGCTGTTTGGAACTGCTTTACGAAGTGGGACTGCATAAATATTTGGCTACCTGGTTCTCATCAAACACATTACCACAGGTTGAAACAACTCCTGAATACTTGACAAAGTATGGCAGGAAAATGAGGGTTTGTAAGTTTATGATTATCTTTTACCCGCGCCACCGTCCGTTTATTATTAGTTCAATGAAAGTAAGGAAAGGATTGTTATTCTTTTTTTTATGTCAAAAGGTGGCAAACGAGCGAGCGGTCACCTGAAATCGCTGAAATAGCGAAGTGACCGTTGCCCA